TTTTGTAAAAGACCTAGAGTCAACTTTGAACATGAAGTCCGACTCTATCCGGGCAACTATTTTTACAGCGCAGAGTATTTTATATTTAATATTCATTATATCATTTGTAGGTTTTAACATATTATTATTGGCTCATCCAGCTTTTTGTATTTTAGAGTTTTGGCACTAACGTTTTGTAACGCTTAGTGCATATTCACTTATGTTTATCGCTTTTCAAATTCTCGTGTTATAATTTTACTCATGTATGCAAAAATTTTAATCACTTTTAAAATTTAAAAAACGATCTCAGAGAGGTCGAAACGTCGTTTTTTATCTCTAATTGTTATTCGAAAATGTGTTCCGAACTTTTTCCTCTTTGACGACTTGCAAAATGCAGAGCAATTGTACTGCCTAATACCATCTTTTTTCCTAAAGTCATAGTCCAATCCGTGGTTATTTTTTCAATGGCCTTTTTTCTTGGAATAAGCGGATGTTTCATTTCCAGTACTTGCCTGTATATGCTAGTCAGTGCCGTTGAAATTCACATTTTCTTTATCATAGTAAGAAGGGTCAAAACTAAGAATGTGTTATTTTAAAATTATCATCTCTTTCTTTAGGAACCGTAGCTTTATAACCCTGGAAAAATATATCAGCCTAAAATATAGGGGAAAAAAAAAGAACAAAATAGCAATGGAAGCAGCTGAACACACATACAAAAAGCAATTTATAAAAGTTTTCTTTTTTTACTCAAGTTGCGAAAGCATTACAAACTAATTATTCCTTTAAAACTCCATTGAATAAGTCAGCTGATGCCCTCCATTCAATCAAGTACTCAACCAGTTACCTAAGGCTTCTAGCACAAGAGCTAAAGGCAGTCAGCACTTACATAAAACTATCAATAGTAGTGGCGTAGTGTCAACTCCCACGTTGCAGTCTGGGTAAATAAGATCATTTATATTTGCACCATCTTTCTCAGCACCTGATCAACTTGAACAAGTAAAGCTTGATAAACACATTGCTTATCAGTTATGAACATGAAGGCGTGTATTATGCTTCTCTATCTTTTGTTCGTAACTTGCTGCATCTTGCCGAGAACAGACGCTGTTCAAGGTCCTCAGTTTAATGCCAGGCCCCATGGAAAGCGATCCACTCAATCGGTAATGTGAATTTCTCTTTAACTTTCAAACCTACTTAGTGCTGTTTGATCAAATACCGTTTAGTTTTGCGGAGTGTTCCTTGGGCTTCCTGATATTTACACTGACCGGTAAAAAGCTCAAATGAAATCACCACACTCTTTGAATTTAGATTCATCTAAACGTTATGTATCATGTATGTGATGCAAAAGCAGTAGAGTCCTATTTATGGCAAAAACAGCAAGAAGCTTACCACAGTTGATTGTTAATTTTCAGATATCGAAAAGAGAAAGAAACATCCGGGACATCTGTGCCGCAATGACTGATGCTTGTAAAAGAGGAACAGAAGGATTCCAAGCAACGCCGGAAATTTAAAAGAAACTAATTGGACGAGGAGCAGAATGTAAAGAAAAAAATAATAATGTAAATCGCCTTAATATACAAGTGTAATATTAAAAGTACTGGAATGTTTATTAGATTGTGTCATAACGTCTGCATTTAGAAGAAATTTACATTTCCCGGATTTATTTTGATGTCGTACTTTGATCTTAACCTAACTTTTCCTTACTAAACGCATAAAATTGACGTAATGTTCTATATCGCAACACCACAGTCAAAAAATACGAAATTGAATGACTCGCCAAATCCTCACAAAAACGATACGCGAACGATAAATTAACATTAGACAAGGTTTAATATGATCGTGGAGTTAAATTTGAACCTAAATGGAGACAAGCCCTCAGTGTAAGCACAATGAACCTCTAAAACAGACATTAGCTAATGTACCCGGAAAAATTATAGCCCAATATGTATCTTGAATAA